CAACAGAACGGGGCCTTCAAATCGCACCTGGTAGCTGCGCCGACGCGCCAGCCAGAATTACTCCGCTTTCTACAATGTACAGTCGGGAGCGCATGGCAGCCTTAAAAACCCCCAAGCTCTAGGCCCTTTTCTCAAGAGCCCTCAACCCTAAACCCTTAACCCTAGAAACCCCAAACCCTACACCCTAAACCCAAAGCCCTAAACCCTATAAGCCCGAAGCCAAACTCTAGTTCCCAAAAACCCTAAGCCCTGAAAGCAGCCTGCGAAGGAGTCCCTGGAGGAATACCGAAAAAATTGCCCTTAGCGATTTACGGCTTAGAGTTCAGGGTTTGCCCTTAACAGTATTTAGGGTTTAGGGAATTTTTTGGGGTTCCTTTAGGGTCGCTTTAAGGGTTCCTTCTAAGGGTCCGGTCTAGGGTTTAGGGTTTAGGGTTAGGGTTTAGGGTTTAGTCGCTTTAAGGGCTCCTTTCAAGGGTCCGGTCTAGGGTTTAGGGTTAGGGTTTTAAGGTTTAGTCGCTTTAAGGGTTCCTTTTAAGGGTCTCCTTAAGGGCACCCGGAACCCCGACCTGTGGAGCCGTGCCAGGCCTCTCACGGAAGCTGGGACTTCCACTTCCAACAGGCGGAGAGAGAGGCTTTAGAGTTTAGGGTTTAGGTTTAGGCTTTAGGATTTAGGGTTTAGTGTTTGAGGCTTTAGAGTTTAGGCTTCAGGCGTTAGGATTTAGGAGGATTTGTTTTAGGCTTTAGGCTTTAGGGTTTAGGCTCTAGGGTTTAGGTTCTAGGGGTTTAGGGTGTAATGTTTTTTTTGCTTTAGGCTTTAGGGTTTTTTTTGTCCAAGGTCCTGGGTTTCGGCTTGTGGTTTTATGGTTTTAGGGTCTGGGCCGGGGTTCACGATCTACGGGGTTTTCGGGTGTGGTAAAAGCCGGGTGATGATGTAAATCCTTAGTTTTTTCCTTAAGGACCCTAAACCTATGGGAATGATGGTATACTCCTTAGTTATGGGGGTAATGCAGGATTGATATCATCAACCGTAGGTCCACCGAGATGTCTATACGGCTTTAGGGCTTCGTAGGATCATAGATGCTCTTTGAGGGGGATACCGTCGCGCACCGATCTTCGGGCTTTGGTTTTTCAACGCCACAGTTCTCAAAAACTCCCATGACTCTAGAATCTTAAGCCTCAGAACTCTACCCTCTCGTTTCATCGCCCTCAGAAGTAGGGAGACCACACGTATGTCCACAGTGGACACCTTTGTAGCTGGGCTTGTTCTGCCCCAGAACTCTAGAATCTTAAGCCCCCAGAGTTCCAGAATCTTAAACCCCACAAAGGCCTTGAACGCCTCCAGCAAGAAACCCAAGCCGGAGGCCTCATAAGCCCCCCAAAAACCCTAAAAAAGCCCTAAAGCCCTAAGCCCTAAAGCCCAAACCCGAAAACCCCGAATCCCTAAACCCTAAAGCCCTAACCCGAAAACCCTAAACCCTAAAGCCCTAAAACCCCAAACGCCCTAAACCCCAAAAGCCGTTTTAATTCTTGCTTAGGTGGGCTGGTGGACCTGCAGGGCCTCGTCTATGCCTGGGTCTTCAACAGCACTGGGGCCTATCGGCTGCCACCACCGGAGGCCCTTACTGGGTGTAGGGTATCGGGTTTAGGGTTTAGGGTTTAGGGTAGACTGAGTTTATTGCTTACGGTTTCTGGTTTGGGGTGCAACTCTTGAAGCTCTAAACCCTACACCCCTACACTCTAAACCCCCGAAGCCGAACCCTAAACCCCCCCAAAACCCTAAACTTTAAGCCTTCAATCTGACAGAAGCTCATCTTGACCTTGGGCTCTTGAGAGGAGCTGCCGAGCTGCCGCTGCCTGGATCCCCATGGGGAAGCCACCGATGACATCGCGCGCTGTGCCTTGGCCAAAGCCCCGAAGCCCAAAAAGCCTTCAACAAAGAAAACCCCCGGAACTCTGGGACCGAAAGCCGTGAACCTTAGGCCCAAAACAGCCCTAAACCTTAAACCCTGAACCCTAAACCCTGAACCCTAAATCCTAAACCCTAAACCCCTAAACCCTAAACTTCAAGCCCCGAACCTCCGGACTGGGGATATTTGTCCTTCGGCCTTGGATGGGTCTGGCGTGTTGGACTTTGAAGGTTTAGGGTTTAGGGTTTAGAGCTTAGCGAACGGTTTTTGGGGTTTATGGGGTTAGGGTTTAGAGTTTAAGCAACGCTTTTGGGGTTTAGGGTCTAGGGTTTAGATTATAGGGAACGTTTTCAGGGTTTAGGGGTGGTAGGGAACGTTTTTAGGGTTTAGGGTTCAGGATTTTGAGTTTAGGGAACGTTTTGAGGGTTTGAGGTTTAGACCAATAGGGAACTTTTGTAGGGTTTTGGGGTTTAGGGTTTAGGGAACTTTTTGATTTTGGCAGCAGCTTCGAAAGCTGGTTTCAGAGCTCCAACCCCACAGGTCCTTGAAAGCAGGTGATTATACTTCAATCCAATAGTACAATGCATTGAAAGCGAGAGTGCAATGTACCATAGTCTAGCAAACCCTAAACCCCAAACCCTAAACCCTAAACCCTAAACCCTAAACCCAAAGCCACTAAACCCTAAACCCCCTAAAGTACGACCATCGCCATGAAGGCAACAGCTCGCAGCTTCTGCTGGCATTTTGGCTTGCAGACCAGCATCACCTTTGCGCCGGTGTGCATGGCATTCCGGGGGCTACTTTTCATGGGGTTAGGGTTTAGGGGTTTAGGGGTTTAGGGTTTAGGGGTTTAAGGGTTTAGGGTTTAGGGGTTTAGGGGTTTAGGGGTTTAGGGGTTTAGGGTTTAGGCTTGTGGGTAGTCTTGGGCTTGGAGTTCCGCCTCAAGCATCGGCATCCCTGTAGTTGTGCTTTCTCCACGGCCATCACCGAATCACCATCCGCTTTCGAACTCGCCATTGGTTCATTTTGTATCTTGCTTCATCTTCACCATCATCGGCACCTGCGTGCCCCGTGCCATGTCCATAATGACCATCATCGCCCCCATCATCGTCATCATTATCATCCTCATCATCACCATCTTCATCATCATCCTCTTCGGCTTCGGCGGTGTCACTGTCCTTGCTCTAGATCGAACAGGTGGCATTGCGCTCTCTGACGCCGCAGTGGTCTACTTCGGCCTTGGGAGAATCCGCAGGCCTGCGAACCAAATCCCAAGACCCGAAAGCTTTGAAGTCTCCGCCCTAAGCCCTAAACCCTACACCCTAAACCCTAAACGGCCCTAAACCCGAAAGCTTTGAAGCCTCAGCCCACCAAAACTCACGAAAGCCCGACAGGTTCATGAACCCGAAACCTGCCTTCCCGTATGCCCTAAACCCTAAAACCTCTTGAAGCCCTCAGCCCTAGATCCCCAAAACTACATATAAATCCCTAAACCCTAAACCGAAAATTCCTAAACCCTAAACCGAAAACCCCTAAACCCCTAACCCCCTAAACCCCGACACCGGAAATCCCGAAACCCTCGGACCTTCCTTACGTAAAGCCCTCCTTTCTTTGAGGCTGCCTCGGGCGCCTCAGTGGTATTCTTCCCGTCTCGGTCCGCGAGTGCCCTGGCCTGGGGAGAGCAGTAAACAACTCCGGGTTTTTTTCGGGAACATAAGGGGGTTTCCCAAAATAGGGGACCCTAATATAGTACCCTAAACAGAAGGATCCTGAGTATAAGGGACCCCAAAATAAGGTACCCCTTATTTTCGGAAAGTCCCACAAGGAAGCCCTCAACGGGACCCTGAAAGGAGCCTTATGGGTAAGGCCTTATAGGGGCTGCAACGGGTTTAGACGGGCTTCCAGGGGCTGTATCAGGGTTTAGGACTATTTCGCCGCATGGTGTGGGAGGGGAGAGATTGTTTCGGGTGTCGGGTTTTTGGGTTCAGGATTCCAATGACGAGCTCTGTGCATTTTTGGGCTTGGGCCATGTCTCGGATTCGCGCCGGGGATCCCCGAAACCCTAAACCCTAAACCCTAAACTCTAAACCCTAAACCTTAAACTTTAAACCCTAAATAAACTCTAAACCCTAAACCTTAAACTCTGAACCCTAAACCCTAAACCCTAAACCCTACACCCGTCACACTCAGGATCCCCTTCCCCACGATCGCCTACCTCGACGATCCCTTTGCTGCTTGGCCTTCCAAGTAGGGTCGGACAGGTTTCAAACTTCGCCCAGAGATTCCTGGGTTCCGCGGAATGCATGTGGGTCGTTCTCTAACTTAGGGTCCCTTTGAGGACCCTAAATGGGAGCTGAGAGAACTACTTATGGACCTGAATTTGAAGCTTGAGGACTTGTTGACATCAACCGTTCCACATGCCAAGGCCACCTTTGTTTCCGCCGTCTTCGGACTCTTCTTTGTGCACTCTGGCTGAAGCTGTGAGGCGTAGCGCTGCACGCGGAGGTTTGGGGTGTGGGTTTAAGGTTTGCTACGACTGGAAGCACGAATGGGTGCTCGTGCTTGGTCTCTAGGAACCAGGAAGGTCTCTATTGTTTTCTGGTTTAGAATTCAGTTCAAGTTACCAGAATGAGGAAACCAGGGTTTTTCTTTAAGATCCTGATTACGGTAGCTTCGATGTTCAGGAGCCAGTAAGTTTCGGAAGCTATTCGGCAGCTGGCTGGGTCGCCGGACGGCCGGGTGCATGTGCTCACTGCTCGCTCCATCGGAGGATGCTTAGTCTTTCGGTCTTCCGATTTTTAAATCAGGGTTCCCGGATATCTGAAACTAGGATCCTTAATCTTTAGATTCTCCATTTGAAATCAGGGTTCCCCGTTATTTTTGAAACTGCTACATGTATCCCCGAACTCCGTGTGGCCGCCTGGTCCTCTCCACAGCTATTTTCGGCAAGCCAGTTGGCTGGTTCCGGCCTTTGCATTGCTCCTTGCATCCCGGACCTTATGCCCGAAGCTCAACCTCAACTCTCAAAGGAATGATTGGAAAAGCCCTAACCAAAACAACCCAAAACCCAACGCCTAAAGCCCAAGCCCAAAATCCCAAACCCGAAGACAAAACCCTAAACCCGAACCTAAAACTCGATTTTGAAGCCATGGGAAGCATCAGTCAGGCTGGTCTTCATTTGGCCGCTGACTCGCATCATCAAAAGCCTAGTCGAGGAGTCGGGGGGTCCGGAACGGAGTCCTTGTGTGTTCGGCTTTGGGGTTCGGGTGTGCGGTAGAGTCCCGGTAGAGGGTTTAGCGATGAATTCGCGCGTTTAAATGAGAGTACAGGGTTTAGGGATGAATTCGGGGTTGAATGAGGGTTTAGGGTTAAGGGATGAATTAGGGTTTAAATGAGAGTTTAGGGTTTAGTACGAGGGGTGTTGTAGGGATAAAAGAGGGCTTAGGGACAGTTAACAAAACAGGTTCCTTTGTTTTGGTATGCTACGTGCCCTAGTGTTCTCAAGATTCAAAAGCGGGTCTAATTGTTCTCAAAATTCCCCAAAGAATGTATGACAGGTACAAGGAGTACGTAGTTGGGAGGCCTCGATGTTCACACGCGTGCAAACTGCAAGGAAGGGACGTGTCAGAAAAGCCACGCGCGCGGAACGCGGAGTCTGCATCTATGTAAGAAAGCCTGAGCGCTATATTGAGTACCAAAGCCCCCCAAAGCGTAAAAACCCAGCCCCAGAAACCCTAAACCCGGAACTCCAGCTACTCTGCGAGAAATGGAAGCTCGTTCCTTGCGCAGGACAAGGAAGCGCGCATCAACGAGGCACATGTGGGTGGCCCATATTGGCTCTTAGCTTCTCATGAGGATGCAGCACCTCCAACCCCGAACCTTAAACCCTAAACCCCGAACAATAAATCCCTCAAGACCAATGCTCGCGAATTTCTGCAAAAACTCCCTTGAATTTTGGCGGATCCTTGATTCTGAAATTTTCCAGGATCTTTCTCGGAGCTAAAGAGTATTCCTGAATTAAGGCGAACAGTCAGCTGTCAGCTCCGATCGCAATCGCAACAGGTCCTCAAAGCCAAGCTGCCGAGTCCTCTGAGTTGTCTGCAGGTCATGAAGATGATGGGCATGCCTGCAGAAGCCATCACCTTTGGCTGGTATCTGACCTATGGGACATCGTGGCTGCATTGTGGGGTTTCGAATTGTGATACAGTTCGGAGATTCTCCGGTGGCCTGCCGGGGGAAAGCATGGGGGTGGCACGGGCTTTCTTTGGGAATGTGCCATCGAAGCATCTCGTGCCAGGATCCAGCAGCATCTTGTCAGGAACGAGTTTGCGCTGTTCCTTCGCCGTCATGCTCAGAGGGTGCGTCGAAGAGTTGCTTTGCCAGTGAAACGGTCTCGGGACGAACGTTTCTTCAGCTGATGATCCATGGCTTCTTGTGGGTGCGCGGTGTCGTCGCTCTCCGGCGCGACTTGCCCACCGAAAACGACCGGGTCGTATCCAGGGGTGCGCTAAGGACAGGTGCAGTAAGCACTGCTGTGCACATTCAACAAGCGCCGAAGGCTTGAGTGTCGCAAAGAATAAAGGAACGGCCCGGGCCACTGTCGAGCCGATTTTGTGGCAGGTATCGGCAAGGAAGCGCCATTCCAATGCATGATTTCTCGAGGCATACGTGAATACCAGCTACAAGTAGTCGAGTTAAACCAGATTCGGCGATGGTGGGCAGACTCTGACCAGGCATTGCGCACTGCGTGTCGAAATTGCGATATTCAGGCCTTGCCTGTGGCGCTAGGCCGTGGTGCTGAGTGGTGCAGTCTCCCAGGACATCGGAAGGAATCAATCTCGGAATTGTGTTGTTGTCTTATTCTTTGCGTCCAAGCAGACCGATATCGCAACGGGTTTCTCGGGACTGAATCTGAATTTGCCGATCCACCTGCCCGATGCATGCCTCGTCGTGCCTCAAACACCCGTGACTAGCTGCAGCTGTGAAGAACTCCGTACATTTGATGGACAAAGTCTGCGTGATCTTATATACCTGAACTATGGGATTATATAGTTGGTACTATACTATACTTGTCATGCAGAATTTTGTCCATCAACAGTATGATTCCGGAGCCAAGTATACAGCCAAGGATCCTTTGGCTGATCCCTGCGGCCCTGATGACCATCATCTGCTGGGGGACGGTTCCTGGGCCTTGTGCGGATGTTGGGAGGCTGGTGGAGTGAGGGGGCGTATCGGAGTGGGCAAACTTTCTCCTTTTTGGCATCCGGGAGTTTCTGCCTTGTGACTTCAAGTGCATGCTAACATCTCTGATCGACTCCTCTTGCCTACTTCTCTTGCTTCCGTGCCTGATGTTTCATGACTGTCTCATCCGATGCTAGCAAGGCAACCTTTACAGTGTAACCTCATTTCCAAGCCCAAAAGCTGGTCAACCACAAACCTATTGTGCAAGGTCCCAGTCCTGGTTTGGAGAACATGAGGTTCCTTGCCACCGTGTTGTCTTGCCTTCGGGGAGCCGAGGTGTTTCAGCACAGCAACAAGTTCGTGGTCTTCCTCTTCTTCTGGCTCTTCGGAATGTGCGCCAGGACCTCAGATGGAAGGAGGTTGTCTCCTCTGTACTCAAGCATTGTTACCTCCGTGCTGCCTCTACTGCAAAGCCATAAACCCTAAACCCTAAACCCTCCATCCTTTCGCAACATCGACTTCACCGGCAGCGCAAACGCCACAAAGTGCAAGAGCACGAAGAGTGTGCAGCAGCCCTCGGTCAATCTTCTTTTGCTTTAGTCGTCCCTGTCTAAACCCTAAACCCTAAATTCTAAACCCGAAGCCCTAAAACCTAAACCCTAAACCCGAAACGCTAGGGTTTAGGGTTTAGTGTTGAGGGTTTAGGGTTTGGGGTTTCAGGTTTCGGGGTTTGGGGTTTACCCGCCTTACCGAGGTCATCACGCTCTGCTCTTTCATCTCAGTTTTCTTTGCCACGGCGAAGATGGCTAGTGTCGTGGGAGCACTGCACCTTCGCTCCAGCTTCGCTCGTACTTACGGTTGAGGGTTTAGGGTTTGTAAGAATGAGGGGAGTTTTTGGATGGCTTCTTGTGGGCTGGGCCGCTGTGTGCTTGCAACAAACACTGAGTCGTGCACGTTGGCAAAACATCTTTTTCTGATCAGCATCGCAGGTAGGAAACGGTTCGCAGCAGAGGTGCAGCTGCAGCAGCTTAATCCGTGACATGTCCAGACTCTTGCCGACAAGCTGCTTCTAGCAGAAGGGAAAGGCCAAGCACCCTCAGTTTTCTCCGATAAGCGCCAGCTTACCTCTCTTCCCCTCAAACCTGCCCAGGATCTTCTTTCTCCTGTACTTTCCCTACATGCCCCTTGGCCTTCGCATGGGGCCTTCGAAGGAGATCGCTGATCCCCCAGCCCACCACACGTGAAAGCTAGTTGCTTGGAGTTGAGCTTTCGGTGTTCATGGTGTTGTCGCTAAGGTAAACCATAATGCTTGCATCATGAGCTCTTTTCGATATTCGGATGAAGGTCATCTCGCAAGGTATCGTCGAGCTACGACCCAACCGACGGGAATCCCCCGTGCTGGATTTATGAATGCATATGTGTGTGTGTGTGTGTGTGTGTTTGTGTGTGTGTATTCAAAGGTTTGTCACGGACTCCGGCGCGTCCGTCAACACGAAGCTCTTTGCATCACTGTCGCCGCCGGTGGCGCTCTCCATAGGCGGATTTCTTGCGTAAGTTGTCAGGATGTTGCGATACGGTTGAAGATATAATTACCCATAACAAGGAATATACCACAATTCCCATAGTTTAGGGTCCTCAAGGTAACGCAGGATTTCCATCATCAACCGTATGTTCGGGTCTTGGATGGCATTGGGATATTTGGCTCCAGCGTACAGGGTCGAAGTATCCTGGCTTATAGAGACCTGCATATATGCGGAGTTGAATATCTGAGAGGCATCCGGATCTTCCGAGTCGTGAGGGGCAGCTTGCGCCTGAACCCGAAACCCTAAATCATTACCCTAAACCCCCTAAATCCTCAACCCTGAACCCTGAACCCTGAAACCTAAACCCTGAACACTAAACCTTAAACCTTTAAATCATTGACTTGAAGCCACGTAGCTTCCGTTCCTGAAGGTTTTTTGGATTTGTGCAGCTCCTCCTCCCTCCCGTTGCTATCCTAAACCCTAGGATTTGGGGTTTAGGGTTGAGGGGCTTCAGCCTTAATTTCTAAGCCCTAAACCCTAAATCCTAAACCTTCAAGTTTGTTAGGGAGAGGCACCAACTTATCGCAGGTGCCGGCCTCATCGCTCAACTCGAGAGTGCTGGGGAAGGAGCCTGTGAGAGAGATTTGACCCCTGATATGATGCTAGGGTTTAGGCTTTAGGGTTTTGGCTTTGGGGTTTAGGGTTTGGGGGTTTAGGGGTTTAGGGTTTAGGGTTTTTGGTTGATATGGTTTTGGAGTGTATATTGTATAGTGCTGTAGTTTGTTGTCCCTCTCGCTGAGCAATCATGATCGTGGGGATGCTAATGCTAGGGCCTTTGAACAATTAGTTGATTTGTCAGGGGTCTACATGAAGTTCCATAATATGTGCTTTCTGCCTCGCACTCATGCACAGTGACTGGTACGAATTTAGGAAGCCAGCAGGGTGTCAGCTATCAGCATCATGACGTTGAAGGTAGCAGTGCTAAGATGTTAGACCGTCGATGAGCTAATATGTCTTGCACGAGAGGCGAAACACAGCTCACCTTTACCCACTTTCCGATTGCCGGCTTGCTGGAATTGCTGCAGTGAAGGCATCGTTTCGCATGGCGGCCATGGCATTGATGTTGCGCACTGGTAGAGGTCTGCCTGGCTTGCTGTTCCTCTGCCTTTACTGTAGACCTCCGAATTTGAGCACTCCTTTAAGAAGGATAAGAATACGGATTTTCAAATTCTTGCCCTCTAGGGAGGATTTTGTAATCAGCCACGGCCATCGAAACCCTCTCAGCCCTCAACCCTATAAACTCCCATAAGCCCTATAAAGCCCCATAAGCCGCGAGCCCTAAACCCTCCAAAGCCCATGCCCCGAGCCCTTGGAAGTTCTGAACTCGGGAGGAGTGCGATTCTCCACCCTCGACGAGACTGGGTTCTTGTTATTGAATTTCTTTTAAGTTACCATAATAGGGATCTAAAGTAAATAATAGGGTTTCCTTATTATGGTAACTTAAATTAAACCCCTTAACAAGAACCCAGGAGATGATCGACAACTCCTCCATGGCTCAGGTCTTGGCGGCTCGGCTTTAGGGCATTTTTTGTTGGGGGGGGCCTTTAAGGTTTTTAGGGGCTTCGAACTTAAACCCTAAACCCTAAACCGTTAAGTTTTAGGGGTTTCTAAAAAAGAGGTTTTTAGGATTTCTAAGAGGGCTCAGGGCTTTAGGGCTTCAAGGTCTCTGGGAATGTTTGGGGCTAAGCTCGTCGAAGGCTTGTTTTTGTTTTTTTTTTCTTCTTTTGCTTCTTTGGTGCTTTCTGGTTCTAGGGTTTAGGGTTCTTTTCGTGGAGCTTCAGGATTGAGAATTAGGGCCTTTTTGTTTTTTTTTGTTTGTTTAGGCTTTGTGGCTTAGGGTTTAGGGTTTAGGGGCTACTTAAGGCACAGCGAAACGAGAGTAGCCTCAAAGGGTTACCCAGCTTCAGTTTGATCCAGAGCAATCAGAGTTCAACGGGTTTAGGGTTCAATGTAGGGGCCTTAACAATTGCGTATACTGCACTATTTTGGCGGTTCCTTGTTAGAGTTTTAATATAATATCCCAAAACCCTATTTCTAATTATTAGGGCCCCTACATTCGGGTCAGAGCCCTGAAGCCTTCGGCAGACTTGCTTTCTTCTGCCAAGTGTGCTGCATCTACACAGCCATAAAGGAGCAGTTCTCGAGTTCGGCTTGTTTCTGAAAAGTCTTGTCTCCACAAGCCGAAACAAGGGTTTGGGGCTTGGGGTTTAGGGTTTAGGGTTTGGGGCTTGGGGCTTGGGGGTTTAGGGCTGGTGGCTTAGGGACTACAGGGTTTCGGCCCCAAGATTTCAGATCGCCCAGGCGATGCTGCTGATCGACACGCTACTCTACGCTGCACTCGCATGGTACCTGGACAAGGCCCCGAAGAGACCCTAAACCCTAAACCTAAATCCTTAGCTCCAAGCCCCAAGCCTCCATGCTGCGGGAGTCAGGGGGACACAAGGGCTTTAGGCTTTAGGGCTGTAGGCTTCTAGGGGTTTAGGGTTTCGGGTTTTGACATGGAGTCCGTTTCCCTAGCACGAACGAAGCCAACAGCGGTTCTTCTTCCAGAAGATCATCCTGTTCGGAGTGGCCTCACAGTGCAGACCTTCTACGTCATAGTGGGAGCCCTAACTCCAAATCCTGGACCCTCAGTCCTCCCCCCCCCCATAGACCCCAAAGCCCAAATCCCAAACCAAAGCCTCCCATAAACCCCTTCGAAATTCAATCCCAAAGCCTTGAACACCTCGTAAAAGCCCTAGAATCCAAACCCACAACCTAAACCCTAAACCCGAAAACCCTAAACCTTAAACCCCTAAACCCTATTCAATTCAACCTGGCGCAATCTGCAGGTCCTGGTCGTCGGCTTCGGAACCCGAGAGCGGTGGTTCTTCCCCTGCACGCGGCAGTGCCCTAGAAGATTTTTAAAGTGTAGTATGTCCTATGTATGACCGTATATATTGCATATATGCATATACATATATATAAATAGAAAATTTGTATACCTCCATCTCGACCTCTATATCTATCTCTATCCCTATCTATATCTATATCTATATCTATATCTATGCAGTGTACACTACCTGTATATGGATAGACCGCTCGATCAAAAGCTCATCAGGTAGATGGATAGATGGATGCATACATCATAACGTACATAGTGCGTCGTACCACAATAGTTAGGGTTTAGGGTCTCAGTGTCTTAGGGTTTTATGGTTTTAGGGTTTTTGGGTTTAAAACCCTGAACCCTAAAGCCCTAAAGCCTTAAAGCCCTAAAACCCTAAGGCCCTGAGACCCTAAAACCCTAATTAAGACCCTAAAACCATAAAGCCCTAAAGCCCTAATTACTTTTAGTAGCGTCAGCCCCGAGTCGCATGGTCGGGCTCTGGAGACCAGCTGTGGGCTCTACACCCTAAACCCTAAACCCTTCACCCTAAACCCTAAACGCTACACCCTACACCCTACCCTAAACCCTAAACCGTTCACCCTAAACCCTAAACTTGAAGCCCTACACCCTACACCCCAAACCGTAAACCCTACACCCTACACCCTACCCTAAACCCTAAACCGTTCACCCTAAACCCTAAACCCTACACCCGGCACCCTAAACCCTAAACTTAAAAACCCTCCTCCCTAAACCCTGAGCCCGACACCCGATCCTTCGAGGGGATCCGAACACTGCCTCATCCTTGAGCTTGGCGATTCATTGGGTTCTTGTTAAATGAAGTTTGTTCGTGGCGCAGGGTTTTAAGTTTAGGGTTTGGGGTTTAGGGTCAGGGTTCAGGGTTTTTGGTTTTAAGTTTAGGGTTACCATATCGCGAAACCTGCTTATTTGCTATTGATCCGAATTATGCTAACTCATAGTACATCGTTAACCCAAACCTTTATGAGAACCAGAAAGTTATGGCAACTTCTATTAAGTTCCCTGACAAGAGCCCAGTGACCCCCCCCGTTTTAAGATTTCGGAGCGACGGGTGCTACGCCGGAAGCGCTTCCAGAGCCTGGATCCCAATGGTAGACCCTAAATAGCAGGGTGTAGGGTTTAGGGTTTAGGGTCTGTCGTTGAAGCTTCGAAATTTAGGTTGTGGCGTTTAAGGTTTAGGGTTTAGAGTCAGGTGTTTCAGGTTCAGGGTTCAAGGGTATTTGGACCCTGAATATCCCTAAACCCTAAACCCGAAACCCTAAACCCGAACTCCCATGTGTAAAAGGTACTGGCGGCCTCAGACAAGCGTGATGTCCCAGGCCCGGGCGGAAACCGCGGTTTGGGAGTTACGGTTCAGGCTTGCAGTTTGGGTTTCGCACGGTTAAGGTTTAGGGTTTAGGGTTTAGGGTTTAGGGTTCGGTTCAGCAGATTGGGTTTCAGGGTCTTGGGAGTTTTCGGGTTTGGGGTGGAGGGTTTAGTGCACACGCTGGGATCCGTGCATCAGCCTATCGGAATGGGCCTTTACAGTCGGAGCAGGCCATGATTTTCCTTAAAGACGAAATGAACCCTAAAAGGGTTTCAGGTTCATATACCACATAGGGGTTCATAGTGTAAGGGTACAGGGCCCTTACTTTTAAGGGTCTTTTGGTCCTTAAGATTGTAGGATATTCTTAAGTGCTGACCCTTTAAAACTCA